TCCGACCTCACTCCAGGTTCCAACTGGCTTCATTCAACTCTAATGCGTATAGGACAACAAGCAGGTTTGGCTCGTACGCTCGAAAGTCTAGAGATTGATGTGTGTTGCCTCTCGAAAACACGCATCCAAGATCCGAGCTCAGTGACCCGATTAACGTCTCCTTCCAACCCAAAAGAAGCGTTTCAACTGCGCGTCTCCGGGGACCCGATCGCTTCAGCGTCTGGTCAGGCAGGCGTTGGTATTGTCCTAAGCGCCAGGGCCGAGGCGGGTCTATTGGATTGAATCCCGATAGATAGCCGACTATGCGCAGTGAGACTCAGAGGTTCAAGGAGGGTCAAAAAGCAGAAACCAAATGAACGATGCTTATTCGTGGTTTCTGCATACGCTCCCACAGACTGTAGCCCGAATACAGTCAAGGATGTCTTCTATCACAGCCCACATAAGCTTTTTCTCAAAAAACCTAGGACGGATATCGTGGTCCTGGTCGGAGACCTAAATGCACGCGTTGGTCGTCTGTCACCCGATGAGACCCACCTTGGCGACCGTCATGGCCTTGATAGCTATCGTTCAGATAATGCGGACAGACTTCTTAGCATATGCCCAGAACACGGTCTGTTCCTCGTTAGCACGAACTTCAGACATTCTAAGCGTCGCCTCGCCACCTGGCGTAACCCCTCTTCGGCACAAATGTGGAGTCAGATTGACCATATAACTATTAGATATAAATGGATGGGATGTGCGAAAGACCGCCGTTCGTATTGGTCTACCTGCTTGAACTCCGACCACGCACTGGTTTGTGCCAAGTTGACTATGCGATTTGGTGGCCGCAAGAAGATGCGATGCAAACAGCTTGACGTCGCCAAGCTCTCTGACCTAGCCATACTAGCCGAGTACCAAAACGAGTTGGCCGCAAGGCCAACTACTAGCCCATCAAGTAGCGTAGATCAACACTGGACTACCATTCAAAACGCAATGCACTAAGTCGGTTTACACAGTTGTGGCCTAACCAGCCAAGTTGTAAATCAGTGGGTCTCCTCCAACTTTCTCCGACACCTCGACGCGTGCCGGGCGATCCCGGGAGACCGCGAGTACAATGAACAGCGCCTCTCCCTAAAGCCTGAACTCACGAAGAGTTTGAGAGACGACCGAGAGGCCTGGTGGACGCTACTCGTAAAGGGGATGGGATCAGCAGCTAGGTGTGGAAACACCCGGTATCTATGCCAGCTCATCCGTGCAACAGGCTCCAAAAGACAGTGTTAGTGAAACAACCTGCGAAGCAGACGGCACGCTAATAAACAGTCTTCATCGACGCTTGGAACGCTAGGAAGAGCACTTCACATCACAGTTCAACCGGACCCCGCGCTGGTTGCCCGATGCAGTTCTCTTGAGAATTCACCCTGGTCACTATCCACGGGTCTACCCACAGAAGCGGAGATCCGAAAGGAACTCCAAGTCCTGAAACGCCACAAGACAGTTTTGGATCAGACGGCCTGCCACCTGCTCTCTTTAGAGGTGGTAGAGAAGCTCTCGTGAAAGAACTTGTGAGACTGTTCTCCAAGATCTGGGAAACTGAAAGTGTACCCCACACGTGGGGAGAATTGACTGCCACATCCATCTATAAGAAGCGCTGCCGCAACGCCTGTTCCAACCCCAGAGGCATAAGTTTGATTCCAATAGCAACGAAGCTGCTGGCGTGAGTTTTATTACACAGGTTACGCCCATTTCATGAGAAGCAAATCCGCGAGGAGCAGGCCGGGTTTCATGCACCCCGTGGCTGCACTTTCGTTGGGTAATGATACTCCGGAAGTGGACGAAAGATGTCTACCTTGGGAGTTGCACAACGGCTGGCGGAGGTGTGGGCGAGGAGATCAAGGCTAGATTAGCGTTTGCTAATCTGCGGCATCTCTGGCGCCGGCGCGACGTATCCCTTCCACGTATGTATTGCGCAACGGTACGCACTGTGTTG